TGCTGCTTGGCCTGCTGTGTTCATCCAGCCCTGCACCTTGTTGTCTCTGATTTGGGAAGTTTATTGTGTTACATAAATCACAAAAAATAAATTTGTTGTGTCATTGATTTGTCATTTAAAGTAGATATAGCATAAGGGAAAATGATTTGTTTACTCTTTTTATTAGTTTTGTACTTGGATTCTTTAACTTTTTTTTAAAGAGAAGGAAATTTGTTAATATAATAAGTCATTAAGCAGGTGATTGAGGCTTATTCATTAATTGGGGCTGACAAAGGTCCTGTGTTTCCAGGTAAGCATTTATTTACAAAAGATTTTGTGGTGCAGGGTAGTGTTCCTACCTATGAACCAGAGGTCCAAGTTCAACTCCCACCTGATCAAAAGGTGTGTCATAACATGTCCAAAGAGGTTGATTTAAAAAAAAACATGAAATATTGGAACAATTCATACTGACTGTCGGAAGGAGGTGCAAGATTGAGTAGTTGATAAACACCATCTATAAGGAAGGGTGTCTCGGTTTCTGTTTCAGTGACTGGCTTGGCTTTCAAATTGACATGAATGACCTTCTCCATTCCTCTTGTGTCTGAGTGAGTATGACCTTGGAAATATTTCAAATATCTCTTTAAAATGGTGCATTGGTTTTGAATTTTCAAACATATTTTTAGATTGCCAATTGAAATGTAACATGAAAAAACAAATTTGTATTTGTGTTCATTTAATATTTCAACTGACAAAACAAGCCCTTTTCTAAAAGCTGTATGAAAGTTTTATTCTCCTGTCGCATTTGGGCTGCCTCCAACCCAAAATTCATCTGCTCCGATACACACTTTGCTTCCCCTCCCTTTCCCTTTTCCAAGAATTGTGTCATTCTGCTGTTGCTGGAGCCACAGAGAATTCTCCTCCCAGTCTCCTTAATCCGGATGTCAGATGATGAAAATGTGAAGAGAACATGTGAGACTTTGACTTTAACTGGTTTGAAGTCAATCTCAACAAAAAAATCTGAGAAGTATTATCCCAGAGCTAGAAATATGTGGTTTCCAGTACGGTGCTGAGGAAATGTGTTCTGTTTACAGTGCAACCTTTTAGAAGAGATTTAATAATCACAAAAGCAGATGACATGGTCACTTATAATAGCTTCTGTGGGATCTTGCTGCATACAAATTGACTGCTGCGTTCTCTACATTGCAACAATATCAGCATTTCAAAAGTACTGAATTGGCTGTAAAGCACTTGTAAGACATCTGTGATCACAAGAGGTGCTACTTAAATGTAAGGTCTTTCTTTGTTTTAGCACAGATTGAAAGAATATTGATAAGCTACTGCAGCTGATAACCTGAATTCTGCAGAAAGCATTAGGAACTGGGCAGGTAATGTACAGAAGAGATCAGATGAACACAATCAGGTACTTGCTGATGTACTTTTAGAAGTGTATTAACAATCCTGTTTTAAGAAGCAAAACCATAGAATTACAAAGAAAATTTGTCTGCACTCGTGTACCCCAGAATTGAACAAAAAAAGATCAGTTGTTAACAAGATCAATAAAAATCAATGAGGCTCCCCAGGAAACTTTGAACAAAACAAAATTAAGAATTAATAACCTGACATTATTTAATAATTGATTTTAGGCGTGGTCCATGTCTTTGTCACAATTCCTAATCAAGTAAAACTATCAAGAAATTAGGAATGAAGTGGCAATGTAGAGTTAAACATGGAACTGTCATTAATGGTAAAAACATCTAATATCAGTGCAGTAATGATTTCTTATCCAAACCAACTATTGCAGTGTGAACTTGCATTGTGGTAATGAACTTTCTTTCACCTGTGTATACTCTGTATATATGCCCACGTCTTCTCCTTTAGTCACTGTTAACTAGATGGAAATAAGCAATAAGTTTAGCTTAGGGACATTTTGTGCCAATAGGCAATGTGATAACAGACACTCTTGGTTACTTTTAAATTTATCAAAACAAGTAGAACATGGGTTGTTCCAAATGTTTTCAGCAGATTGATGTGCCTGACCAACCTGTTTGACCCAGGATACCCTTCAATTCCCCATGTGTTATTCAAGGACAAAATTAAGGTTAGTGTATCTCTTGAAAACTAATTTGAGTTCATTTAGTACTGTTTGTATAATTTTCTTTTGAAGTATTTGAGGATGATCAGGGCTTAGCTGTAGGAGGTGCATAACTAATTTTAAAACTGAAAAAGTGCTGTGAAGGGGATCGTAGCTGCTGATGCCTGTCCGTCTTCTGCAGCTGTGTTTGTGCCTAAATGACCTCCGGAGAGGGCGTACACGATATCCACTAATAAAATCTTGATGCCTGAGAGAGAGGTGGGTACTGCAAGCGATTAGTGCCTTATCTTTTCCTAACTCCATTTTGATTAGCGTCCTCCCCCTGTCATCCTCTTATTTCACCTTTGATGGTTTGCATTGCCCTTAGCAGGTTTTGCAAGTAAGTTATTTAATTGGAACCATGGGTGATTTATGGGTGCTAGTTAAAAAATTAGAAAAGTACTATGGGTGATTTGATGATGAGAGAAAACCATTTTTCAATTGTCTGCAAGAACACGTCTGGATAAATGGGGAAAAAAAGGCAAAGGAAAGAATGTAATGGAGTATGAGTGAGAACTTGTAACGCACTCTAGCTAAAGGAAAAACTAAGTTGTCAAGTAACTGAATTTGGAAAAATGAGAAATATAAACAAAATGTAAATTTTTGAGCACAAGGAAACGTTTGGGTATGTGACCCAATTGAAGATTGTTTCGTCTTTGGCAGGAGGAGGGTAAGAAAGGAAGAAAAGAGCAAAAATGACATCAAAACGGAGAGATGGAAACAGCAACAAAAATTGAAGTATTCAAAGAAATGTTACGAGGGTTTTCAGGGGATTGAGAAAAGTTGATGAAAAATGTACTAAATTATATGCATATCAGTGTTTACAGTTTGTCTGATGAAGTTGATGAGCTGCAAATATAAATTTTCATGTAGGATTCATGTTGCATTAACAAACATACTTACTGAGGCAAAAGCCCAGGGTTAGGTTCTTAGCTGTTGAGAAACCAAGAAGGAGCTGTTCTATTGGATGTACATGAGCACATTTCTCCGCAAATCTCAAATGTGAGGAATAGTGTAATATTAAGAGCTTTTCATCATCCTAAAATAGACCAGGATGAAAAAAATACACAATAAGTGTAGGGAAGGAGAAGAATTTCGAATTTCAGCATAAATATTTTCAGACATACATCTCCAGGCCAATAGGAAAAAAGCAGAGTTCGATTTGATTCTGGGAGATTAAGTAGGGCACATTGGAGTGTGTTGTGGTTGGTTATCTACAAACAATAACCATAACGTAATCTGGTTTTAGCAAATTATAGGAAATGCCCAGAAAATATTGATAAAAGTTTTCAAGTGGACTGAATGAATATCACTGAATGAGAAGGGACCTAGAACAGATAGTCGAGAAAAGGCAATCCCACAGTCATGAAGTAACGGAGCAATCAGGATTTGGGGGACATACTGTTCAGAAATAAAGTAGATCTTTTTCCCCCAAGGGGAAATCTAAAGCAAATGCATACTAAATGAACGAAAATAAGTTTTTAAACAAAAATTCAAAAAGAAGGCAAATGACACATATTTTAGGACCTAGCTTTAGTTAATGTGAGGGAATTGAACTTAATACAAAGATGGAGGAGTGAGTGAGGTGAGGTGCCTGTGACAGGCAGTCAGCAACACCTGAAGGGAGCAGGCGTGATAAAAACCTGAGCAGGCAGTTACCACATAAGGAACAATTGACAAGAAGTGTCGGTGATGATGACACCAAGAAAAGCATTCAGATGAAAAGTAGATTCGTTGGAATGATTGGAATTGGTCCTTACCCCATTACAAAGTGTTCGCAGTTAGTGAGTCTCTGACTAAAGTAAGGTCTTTTCTAATTTTAAGTTTTACCACCGTATACGAATGGGTAGCAAAGTTAATAAAGTATGTAAAATGCAGCATGAATAATATAACTAAATAATTAATTTAGAAACCTGAAGGGTGGCAAGTCAGGTGATGTATTACAATTGGGAGTTCTTTGGGAATTCATTGCCTGTTTGGTCCAGAGGAAAACATGTTCCAAAGGTCAAGCAGCTTTAGCTGAGAGCTCCTGAGTTAAGGGGACCAGTAAGCAGATAAACCGGATCCTGGGGTCAATTTGCCAACTGGTTTGAGTTTTTCAGCTTGTTAACTGAGAATCGGGACTGCAGGATGGATGAGCTAACTGATCATGGTATCATAATGCAGTTGACCATTCTGTATAGGGAACTAAGAGGCAATGCAGTAGTAGTAGGGCACAGTATGTACAGAGGAATTGACACCCTTCTTTGCAGGAAAGGGCAGGCATCCGGACAGCTTTGTTGCCTGCCCAGGGCTGTAGTTCGGGGCACATGCTTAGGGCTAGACAGGAACATGCAGTGCCATGATAAAATCCAATCATCACACAAAGGACACAGACAGGACTAAGGAAGTTCTGTATAGTCAATACAAGGAGCTATGCAGGGAATTAAGCAGCAGAACATGAAAAGTCATAATCTCCTGAATATTCTGAGTGCTGTACAAGTTAACAGAGGACAAATCAGATTAGAGAGATGAATGCTTTGCTTAAAGCATGGTTTGGGAGAAGTGGGTTCTGGTTTGTGAGGTGCTAATGGTAGTTTTGGGGATGACATCAACACTGGGGCCCTTCTCCACAGGAATTGTGCTGGGGCCAGAGTTCTTGCTAAAATATATTCATGTTATTGAGAAGGTTTTCAACTAAATATGAGGGGCAAGGGATCAAATTTGAGAAGATGAACACTCTGTGGTAAATCAATAGTATCAAGTTCGAGCAGAAAAGCATTAATACGGGAAACGATAAACAACCCATGACAAAGGATAGTGGGTGCAAATCTAATGTACCATAGGGATCTGTACTAGGACCTCAATTGTTTCCAATTTTATATAAATGACTTGGGTGAAGGGACAAGGTATGGGTTGCTAACTTTACTGATGACACATATAAATGCATTTGGCATTTGAAACAAAACTGATGTACTGAGAACATAAATAGAAATTAATAAATATGATCTAGTAGCCATTACAGAGACATAGCTGCAGGGTGTAGGTAGTCTAGATGAGGAATTCATAGAATCGTTTTTGGGATAGTTTCTTCCAATAGCACGTTCTGGAACGGACCAGAGAGCAGGCTGTATTAGACCTGGTATTGTGTATTGAGATAGGATGAATTAATGGTCTTGACATGAAAGTACCCCTAAGTAGCAGTGGCCATAATATGGTTGAATTTGAGAAAGAGAGGAGCAGGCCAGAAACTAATGGGAATTCCGAAGGCAAATCTGGACAAAGTAAATTGCCAAAGTAGGTTAAGGACAGGACAGTAGAGATGCGTGGAAGATATTTGAAGGGGCATTTATAAATACAGATTAGATACATTTCATGAGTAATAAAAATTCCAAGAGACAGACCCACCATCTATGGTTAACAAGAACTATTAAATAAAAATAAAGAAAAAGCAAAAAATTGCACAAAGGTAGATGGCATGCCGGAAGATTTGATGGAATATTTAAAAGAAAGCAAAGACTGATCAGAAAATTTAATAAGGATGTAAAAATGATAGCGAGTGAAAGCTAGCCACAAATAATTCAAAAGCTCGTCAGAGTTTTTATCGATACTTGAGGAAGAAACGAGTTAACAATGTGAGCTTTGGTCCTATAGAAAATGAAGCTGGAGAATTATTGATAGTGAATAAAGAAACGGCAGAGGAGTTGAACAGGTATTTTGCAGCAGTATTTGCTGTAATGAATATAAGTAACATCTCAAGAAATAGTAGGGAGGTACAACTCCAGAAAGTCTCAATCACCAGAGAACCGAGTACTGAGTAAGTTTATGACACTATTCCTGGAACAAGGATGTTTGTTTTATGAGGAAAGTTTTACAGGCTAGACTTGAATCTATGGGAGTTCAGATGAAAAAGAAATTACCTGATTGAAACATAAGATTCTGAGGGCTCTTGGCAGGGTAGATCTGGAGAGGATGTTCCCTCTTATAGGAGATTCTAGAATTCAAGGTCACTGTTTAAAGTTGCCAGTCATTTTAAAACCAAGATTTGATGAGTATTTTTCTCAGAGTCGTGAGTCTTTGGAAATCTCTCTTCTGGAAAGGTCGGTGGAAGCAGAGTCACTGCACATTTTTGAGGCTGAGACGGACAGCTTGTTGTTAAGTGAGGGGTGAAAAGTTACCGTTAGTAAGTGGAAATGAGAATTTCATGTTGTAATTTAGATCAGCTGTGATTTTATTAAATGGCAGAGCAGGTTCACGCTGAATGGCCTACTCCAAATTCATATGTTTGTGTTACAAAGAAGATGAGTAGACATTATCAGATTGAACATGAAAAGATTTGCTTAACAGAGATAGGGTTAACAGTTTGCGAGGGAAAGCAGTTGACCTAGTAAAGACCAGAAGGGAAAAACTTCCTGTGGATGCAGAGGATGTGGTAAAAGGTTTTTTTGAAAGGATTACTTTTCACACCCCTTCATGAAGGAACTGTATAAAATGAAGGTTACACTAAAGAAGAAGAGGCAAGAGTGGACAGGATAATACTAGATACAGAAGACATTGTGAAAGTTTTATCATCTTTGAACTAATAGAGTCTTCCATGCTAATCTTTTCTTCTTCTTCTGTTATAGTCATTGTGCTGAATACGTTATAGTATTCAAATGTGAAAAGTATAAACCACAAAGCTACAGGCCAGTCAGCCTCCTGAAAACTTTTGAAAACTATTGTGGGAGACCAAACAAGCTTTCACTTGGCAAGCTATGAGTGAATCAGGGAGATTTCTCAATGATTCGTTAAAGATAAAACCTGTCTGGCTAACTTGTTTGGATTTGAGCACTTTGCTCACTGGATAGTTGGTGCTAACATTATGTGCTTAATGGTTTTTTCCTGCACTGTACCAATTATATGATTTGGTGAAGTTGGATTAAAAACAGCAGTCTTCTGACTCTGGATACCATTTTAGAGTAATAGATAGGTGTACAGTTGGGTGGTGG